TTCGGTTCGGTTATTTCTTCGGGTTTTTTCGAATAAAACCATAACCAAACCAAATACTATCGGTTTTCAAAAATCTAAAACCAAACCAAACCAAACCCAAATAAAATCGGTTTTATTTTATCGGTTTGGTTTGATTTTTCGGTTTGGATCGGTTTTTATCCAAACCGTGAACACCCTATGTAGGAGTATCAAATGAGCAGGTTATATATAAATTTAAACAGATTAAAATGATTTAGGTTGATAAATAAATGAATAAATTAACTTGTTTAGAAAGTTATTTGAATTGATTTTAAAAAAAAGAAGAAGTTATAATTAACTCAATTTGTTCCATTCTTATTAAGTCTTGATTGTTTTATAATTTTTGAAGTTCCTAATATTTTTCTCTCTCTTAAGTAGTACTTTTTTTTGTATAATATTTTGTGACATTTTAGATTGAACATACTCCTTAAAAATGTCACTCACCCCTAAAAGATTTATTTTTAGTAAATTATCCTTAATTAAATAGTAAGTGCCTATTTAATATTATTCACACTCACTTATCTAAATAAGGATATAAATTTAAAAAAAAGTGAACAATTCTTCTTCACTATGTAAATATTATTTATTTAGCTTAAATATAAAACTTAAATTATCACATAGTAATATATTTATTTTTAAACTGCATGTCTTTTTTTTAAAAAAAAGTTATTCAAAACTAATTAAACATATCTTGCTCGGGAAAGAAAAATAAATAAATGTACCTGGCACTCTCTCTATTCTATAAAAATATAAATTTTCTCCATGCACATATATTTGTGCTAGGGATCTAAAAAGTCAAAAAAAATATTTAAAATTCAATCTAGGAAGTTAATTTATTTTTTTTAGCAAAAATTATTCTTTCCCTCTAATTTTGTGACTGAAATCCAAATCAGCATTGAATTTCATTAATCCTATCTATATAAGGGCAAAAAAAAAAAGACTTTTTTTCTTCATCTGACTGTTTTTTTGTTTTCTTGAAAATGTTGAAAATTTGCAGAAATTGAAGATAAAGATTGAATCTTTTTGAGTTTTGATTAAGTGGGGTTGTTTTATTATGGCTTCAAATGGAACTATGAAGTGTCCATCACCAATGAAAGCAACATCTAATGGAGTTTTTCAAGGGGATAATCCATTGGATTATGCACTTCCTTTGGCTATTGTTCAAATATGTTTAGTACTTGTGCTTACTAGACTTCTTGCTTATATTTTAAGGCCATTGAGACAACCTAGAGTCATTGCTGAGATTGTTGTAAGTATTGCTGCTTCTATTATCGTATTATTTTATTGTTGTTACTTGTTACTACTATTCTTTCTTTCTTATCTATGTTGTGTACTGTGTTTTTCATTTCACATTATTTCGTTGTTGTTAATGTTTTCATTTATGTATTTAGGGTTCTTTAGTCTCCCTAGACTTTATTTATGAAATTATACTGAGTATGTTGTTGTTGTGGTAGTGTTCGGGTTAGCTTGTGTAGACTGGTGGTATTCAGATCAACTTGTGTGTATCTTGACTATAGCACCGGACTTGGGATTTAAATTTGATGGGTTCAATCTTATGTTTTACTATAGAATTTATAACACTTAAAAGTTATAGGTTCAATTTTATTTAAGAAACCCTCGTGTTAAAAATGACGGGTTCAGTTGAATCCGTTGACTATATACTATATTTGCCACTCGAATACTTACTAGTACCTCTCATTAGTATAAAGATACCAAGGAACTCTGCTACCAAGACTTATGTTTTTTTTTGTTTTTTATGAAGAAACATAATTTTATTGATCAAGATTGTGAGTACAATTCTGCTCCCCAAACTAGGATGATTTGGATTGCGTATTTCTTAAACTTGGATGTTTGGACTTGATTTTCATAATTCGAGGGTCGTTAGTGGCGTATTTCTCGAACTAGGATGATTTGGACTTCATCTTCATAATTCGAGGACCATTAGTGGCATATTTCTCGAATTAAGATGATTTGGATTTGATCTCTTTATAAATTTTTCATGAATTTGCGGAATATTTGAGATTTTGATCTCTTTATAAATATTCCATGAATTTGTGGTGGAATTTTCGAAATACCAAGACTTATGTTTCATTTCTTTTCTTGATTTTTATTTTTCTTTCTTTTCAATTTTCTCCAATAAACTTATAGTTGGATGTACCTCGATTATTTTACCAGATACTCATACACACACATATATAAATATTCAGTATTTTGTTGAAAATGTGGATACTTATTATCTTTCACCAGCACAAGTACTTAGATAATTCTAGTTTTTCCATAAGTTTTACTCTAATTTTCACTAAGTTATCCCATGTGTTGGTGTTTTCAGATTTTTCTTGAGTTATACATTTGTGCCTTTATGTTTTACAATTTTCTCCAATAAGCATATAGTTGCACTCTATTAGGAAACATTGTTGGAAAAAATGATTGGTATTATATATATTTATGTTGCTTATCTTTTGATAAAGCATATTTATATTGTTATCTTGAAAGTTCAGTATTCTTGTTACTTTTGTTAGATATTAACTCAAAACACATGGTCCCCTATTATTTTTCTTTCAAAACATATAGTCCCTTGGTAATTTGCCATCAAAGCAAGGCTTTTTTTATTTTTTTAACTAATCATAAAGTATTTGATTTGCTGCTGCTGGTTAACATGGTAGTCAAAAACTAACATAAAGAGCATTTATTCCAGAAAAATTGGAACTTGATCTAATCTTGATGGAGAAGTTGAGCAGTTGTTTAACATCACAATGAAAAAATTATAATGGACTTTAAATGAATTTTAGTCTAGTTTGCCTCTGTTTTGACTAAAGTTTTTTGTATGGAAGGAGTATACCACTTAGTTATCGTACTGTAAATCAACCAATTAGCTATCACATTGCAAAAGGACTAACTATTTATGTTACTATCGGTTGTTTCTTGTACTTCGATTATAGTATTATTATGTTGTAACTATTGTTCCTTTATTCAGAATGCTTTGTCATGCTATCTTTAGTATTTTGTCGTGGCTTCTTTATTTTTGTTACACTGTGGGAATGCAAAGGGATTGATTAGAATTTACAAAATGTATTAGAGATGAATTTTCTTGGATACATGCCACTAGTTATGAGTCTAAACCATTTATATTGGTTGAATTTTCGTATATTAATGAGTTGTGATATCATGGATGAATGTTTGAACCACAATTGTGTTATGGCACCATAAAAACATGATTTATAATGCTGATTGGTACTACTTGTTAGTGCAAGAAATTGATTTGATCCAATTTTTTACTTTGTTAGGGAGGGGTTCTACTAGGCCCATCTGCTCTAGGACGCAACCAGAAGTATCTACACGCTATATTTCCACCGAAGAGCCTTACAGTGCTAGACACCTTAGCCAATTTTGGACTCCTCTTCTTTCTTTTCCTTGTTGGACTGGAGCTAGATCCAAAGTCCCTTCGTCGGACTGGAAAGAAAGCTCTAAGCATTGCTCTTGCAGGAATCAGTGTTCCTTTTGCATTAGGAATTGGGACATCCTTTGTTCTCCGGGAAACTGTTTCTAAAGGAGTTAACCAAGGCCCTTTTCTCATCTTCATGGGAGTAGCCCTTTCCATCACTGCCTTCCCCGTTTTGGCTCGTATCCTGGCTGAACTCAAGCTTTTAACAACGGACGTTGGTCAAATGGCGATGTCTGCTGCAGCTGTCAATGATGTGGCTGCATGGATTCTACTCGCTCTAGCTATCGCCCTCTCAGGTGTTGGTCGTTCTCCTGTTATCTCGTTATGGGTCCTTTTGTGTGGAACTGGTTTCGTGCTACTCTGCATATTCATTGCTCCTCGTATATTCAAATGGATGGCTAGACGTTGTTCTGAAGGTGAGCCAGTGGACGAAAAATACGTGTGCGCTACACTTGCAGTTGTTTTGGCTGCATCATTTGTGACTGACATGATTGGTATTCATGCATTGTTTGGGGCTTTTGTGCTTGGAGTTCTCGTCCCAAAGGAAGGGCCTTTCGCGGGTGCTCTGGTGGAAAAAGTTGAGGATCTCGTGTCTGGTCTATTCCTTCCTCTGTACTTTGTGTCTAGTGGATTGAAAACGAACGTAGCCACCATTCAAGGGGCTCAATCATGGGGTCTTCTTGTTCTAGTCATAGTTACAGCATGTTTTGGGAAGATTGTTGGCACTATCGTGGTGTCACTACTGTGCAAATTGCCCATCCAAGAGGCTGTAACCCTCGGTTTCTTGATGAACACTAAAGGTTTGGTGGAGCTCATTGTTCTCAACATTGGCAAAGATAGAGGAGTAAGTTCAGCTTGATTACACTTCATTTTCGACTACTTATAGTTGCGTAACATTGATTTTTGACTGATGTTTGGTTTTGCAGGTACTTAATGATCAAACATTTGCCATCATGGTGTTGATGGCTCTCTTCACGACGTTCATCACAACACCTATAGTGATATCAGTATATAAGCCAGCAAAACTGGCTGTGACAGCATACAAACACAGAACTATACAGAGGAAAAACACGAGCAAACAGCTCCGAATCTTGGCCTGCTTCCACAGCACAAGGAACATTCCTGCAATGCTCAATCTCATTGAGGTTTCTCGGGGTATTGAGAAGAGGGAAGGGCTTCGTGTCTACGCAATGCACCTCATGGAGCTTTCAGAAAGATCCTCTGCAATCCTGATGGTCCACAAGGCTAAAAAGAATGGATTGCCCTTTTGGAACACCGAACAGGTGCAAGACTCGAATCAAATTGTTGTAGCTTTTGATACATTCTCAAATCTGAGTAAGGTATCTATTCGACCAACTACTGCAATCTCTCCTATGAACAGCATGCACGAGGACATAGTCGCTAGTGCAGAGAGAAAAAGGGTTGCAATGATAATCCTCCCGTTTCATAAGCACCCGAGACTCGATGGACATTTGGAAACAACCCGAGGCGAACTTAGGCATGTGAACAGGAGAGTTCTTCAGCATGCACCATGTTCAGTTGGCATATTAGTAGATCGTGGTCTCGGTGGAGCTTCTCATGTATCCTCAAGTAACGTTGACTTCTCAGTGACTGCCTTGTTCTTCGGTGGCCATGATGATCGCGAAGCACTTGCTTATGGTGTACGTATAGCTGAACACCCTGGCATTAGTTTGATTGTGGTTCGGTTCATAGTAGACCCTGAGGTTTCCGGGACAAGTGTCAAGGTAGAAATGAATGACAAAACTAACCCCGAGGCTCAATCTGATGATGAAGAGTTCCTTGCTGATGTTAAACAAAAATCTTCAATAGATGGATCGATCAAATTTGAGGAGAGGCTCGTGAAAGATGCTCGTGGGACTATAGAAGCAATTCGTGAGTACAATCGTTGCAATCTGTTTCTGGTTGGCAGAATGCCTGAGGGACAAGTAGTTGTAGCATTGGACAAAAAGAGTGACTGCCCTGAGTTAGGATCCTTGGGAAACTTATTGACATCACCAGAATTTTCGACTACAGCATCAGTGTTGGTGGTGCAGCAGTACCGCAGCCAGTTGCCTGAAGAATCTCTCAGTTCTTTGAAGGAAGGAGAGTCATCAGACGGCGATTGTGATTCAGAATAAACGTCGTTTTTGCTAGCAATTCATCAAGGTTTTTAAGTACTCAATGTACAGTACAATGCTAGTTACTCAAGGCTTATTATACATGACATTTGTTCTGTTATTGTAAGACTGAAAACTATTTCTTTGCATTAATACTTATTGTTCCTTTATGAGTTTCAACTTTGTTGCCTTAAGAATTATCAGTGTTTGTCTTTGTTGTTGAATTACAGTTGGATTTTCCTCTGGCAATACAGAGTAATAGATGATATCTGCAACGTATAATGAGTTTAAGTTTTATGTACTGACTAATATTTATACGATCATATCACTTGTAAGGTAATGTAGGCACACATTTATAACAAACATTTATTGAAAACATGATAAAATGGTAACTAACCTCCTATCACGATAGAATAACAAAAAAAGTTGCATTAGACATATTCTTTCGGAGTTCCCTCCGGGAAATATAGCATCTTTGACCCCTAGGGTCAATACCACAAGCCTCTTATCCATTCTCATTGAACGCAAATATGAGATAAGAAATCCAATCTTTCACTAAGATTTTCACATTCTAATGATCAATTTTGATGGTGACAATCTGATGAGCTAGGCCCAACTTTGTTTCACTTGTTGGTCCAATTTATTGTAGAACTTTGGAAGCAGACGCATAAAATATTAGACTGTCATCTAAATTTTGCTATAACTTATAAAACTTTAGATCATTTTCTCATAAGATTTTCAGTTTACTTTTAGACAGTTAAAAGTCCATAAGTTCGCAAGAAAAATTAAAAGGTCATTTATTAATTAACTATCCCGACCGAAAGAACATTCGGCGAAAATTTTGCTCCATGTTCATGCCACGTAGGGCCTATGAAAGGTGATATTTTGAAGTCAAAGCCTCTACTAATCCAAATTCACGTTGTGTAGGATCTGTAAAAAGAAAACACTTTCTTATTGTGACTTGTGAGTTATTTTTATTCTCAAAATTCGAACTCTAAGTCTGTAAACTGAACAACTCATACAAGTCATAATGAAGAGGGAATATGCCATTCCTAAAATCTTAGTTTAGCATCAACAATGTGGTAGGTAATAAACACCCCCATTTTTTAAAAAAATAAAAAATTGTAAAATAATCGGCCTTGCAACTTTGTCTTATTTGTTGAAAGAGTTCATATTTTTTTACTATAATTATAAGATTTTCAAGTATGAAAACACTAAATAAAACAAGTCGGATTATGAATTTTCTAAACATGATTAAAAAAAGTGTTCTTGCAACTTATTTAACTTTGTCTTCCATAGAAACAAACAAATAAATTTTTCTCCAAATATTGAACTAAGCTACTAAAGTATATTCTTGATATCACTAAATATAACAACATCATAGTCTTTTAATTTCCACTATATAAACTTGAACAAAATCATTTAAATCTCTCAACAATTAAACCATGGAGAAATCATATTATTATTTCAACATCCTTTTTATTATTATACTCACTTCTTTTTTTCTCATAGCCAATTCTAAAACCCTAAACCCAAAAAAACCCTGCAAACGACTCGTTCTCTATTACCATGACATCCTTTTCAACGTAACAAATGCTGCAAACGCTACATCTGCAAATGTCTCAAACCCTCTTAATAACGTCCTAGGAGATTTCAATTTTGGGATGTTAGTAGTATTCGACGATCCAATAACAATAGATCAAAATTTTATGTCAACACCTGTTGCGCGAGCTCAAGGATTTTATTTATATAACATGAAGAGTAAGTATAATGCATGGTTTGCTTATACTTTGGTTTTTAATTCAAGTGAATATTGTGGTACATTAAATATTATGGGGGCAGATATTATTGAACAAAAAACTAGAGATCTTAGTATTGTTGGAGGGACAGGAGATTTTTTTATGGCTAGAGGTGTTGTAACATTTAGTACTGATGCTGTTGAAGGATTGGGGTATTTTCGTCTTAAAATGGATATTAAGTTGTATGAATGCTATTAGATAGTATTTATTAAGAATATTGTAGTTTTTCGGGTTTGTTAAGATGTGCACTTTAGATTTGAACACTCAATGATTAAGACTGTTTATTTTTAATAATTAAATGTGCATATTTAATTAAAGATTATATCAATAGAATATTATAAAAGATTTATTAATTCTAACAGAAAAGTATTACTTTTTGATTAAAAAAAAATACAAAAATATTTTTATCTCATTGTTACAATGTATGTCTAATTTTCCAAGCATGGAATCATCCTTTAGGTTCTTTAAGTTGCCCACAAATTTTAAGGTGAATGTTTACTCATTATTTAATAATCCAAAAAGGATAAAAAAAAAAAGTATAAATTATAGGAACCACATATTATAAGTACTAAATAACATCCTATCCCTTCTAGTTTTCTATTTACCAAAAATCCCTTAAAAATGATGTTTGCGGGCTTTTTGATTAAAAAAAAATACAAAAATATTTTTATCTCATTGTTACAATGTATGTCTAATTTTCCAAGCATGGAATCATCCTTTAGGTTCTTTAAGTTGCCCACAAATTTTAAGGTGAATGTTTACTCATTATTTAATAATCCAAAAAGGATAAAAAAAAAAAGTATAAATTATAGGAACCACATATTATAAGTACTAAATAACATCCTATCCCTTCTAGTTTTCTATTTACCAAAAATCCCTTAAAAATGATGTTTGCGGGATACATAGCGTTGTGCACGGGATACATTCCACATATCGGGATAAATAGCGTTGTGCACAGGATACATTAGGTTTGATACATTCCACATAGCGGGATACATAACGTTGTGCACGGGATACATGCGGGATACATAGCGCTGTGCACGGGATACATAGAGTTGTAGCACGGGATACATAGCGTTTGATACATTCCACATAGCGGGATACATAGGTAAATAAGGGATTTTTGAAATTTTTGAAATAAGTATGGATAAATGGATATTAAGGTAAGTAAAGGAGTGTAGTTAAGTAATTTGTCCAAAAAAAAAATGTCTTTAAACTATGTGAAAATGAACAAAAATATCTTTAGTTAATACTTTGGTCTAAAAATGTACTTGTTGTCAATAGTTTGTTTAAAAAATGTCCCTACCGCTAACACCTTGTTTGGATGCATGGTTGTTACCTGTCGTTTTTGTTTTGATTGTTACTTAAATTTTATTGTATCGTATCATTTAAATCCATTGCTAGGTAACAACAAAAAGATCTATTTTATGTAATGACCAATTTGGTGTGATCGTTTCGTTACTTTAATATTTTCTTCTCATTTTATCTTTATTTATTATTTAGTAATTATATTTAATCTTTTATCCTATCTTTTCATAGTAGCTCTACCTCGTACCTTACTTTTATTGTAGGCTTATCATTCAATTTATGGATACGTGTAACGATGAAAAACGATACAGTCTATCCAAACATTGTATGCATCAAAACAATACAGTTCGATACAATACAATACATTATGAAATAATACGTAACAACCATCCAAACAAAGTGTAATAGTTTGATCCAAAAATAATCCTTAAATTATAAATTTTAAGTTAACCAACTTTTGTTTTTTCCCCAAAATATATCTTAAATTAACTCTTAGAAAAATGGTTGGTGAAATTGACAAAACACAAGTTGGCAGGCTCACCTAATTATTATACTAAGATTTCTTTTGTGATTATTGGCTTGATTGAAGTCTAACGCAAGCTATGATTTTAATTATTAAATAATGAGTAAAAATATGGTTAGCACTTTGATTCTCATTTTAAACTAATTTTATATTGATTTTAACTTTAGATTTAAGCTTTCATAAATTAATGGATTTGGATTCCTAATTTTTATTAGTTATGTGCTACTTGTTTCCCTTTCAAAAGTCGTTGTTTCCAATTAGGAGACTTAAAGGTTCCAATAATAGTTCTTTATAATTAGGTCATGACCCCATAACTAATACTATTAGAATATGATTTTATACATTGATGACATAAAAATCTTAGTGGTACACATGGAATTTAAAAAATTGACTCGTGGATCATGGTTATAGTCTTATAGATCACATTAAAAATGGACTCACATGAAAATTGATGGATGTTAGACTTTAGACATCATAACCAAACAAATAATACTATTATTATGTCTACACATTTTTGTTTACTTAATTATTATTTTTTACTTCTATATTATGTATATATTCAGAAGATGAAAGCAAGTATGCAGTTATATATATTCAGAGAATAGTTAGTATACGCAATATTAACTATAAATTATTTGAAAATTTAGGATAGCCCTAACGTACAAAAAATGTCTTCTGTAAATATTTTGACTAAATTTCTCATGAGTCGATTTGACACCTACATATTAATCTAGTTCTTTATGAATTGTTAGACTGAATTTGTTGAGTTAATAAATAGACGGGCTATGTTTTCATGAGCTAATTTATCACCTCTAAGAGTAATCTATGGGCCGGGTTCACATAAATGTTGTTGTTGTCAATAGTTTGGTTAAAAAATGTCTCTACCGCTAACACCTTGTTTGGATGCATGGTTGTTACCCGTTGTTTTTGTTTTGATTGTTACTTAAATTCTATTGTATCGTATCATTTAAATCAATTGCTAGGTATTAACAAAAAGACCCATTTTATGTAATGACCAATTTGGTGTGATCGTTTCGTTACCTTAATATTTTCTTCTCATTTTATCTTTATTTATTATTTAATAATTATATTTCATCTTTTATCCTACCTCTTCATAGTAGCTCTACCTCGTACCTTACTTTTCTTGTAGGTTTATCATTCAATTTTATGGATACGTGTAACGACGAAGAACGATACAGTCTATCCAAACATTGTATTCATCAAAACAATACAATACGATACAATACAATATAATACGATAGAAATAATACGTAACAACCATCCAAACAAAGTGTAATAATTTGATCCAAAAATAGTCCTTAAATTATAAATTTTAAGTTAACCAACTTTTGTTTTTTCCCCAAAATATATCTTAAACTAACTCTTAGAAAAATGGTTGGTGAAATTGACAAAACACAAGTTGGCAGGCTCACCTAATTATAATAAGATTTCTTTTGTGATTATTGGCTTGATTGAAGTCTAACGCTAGCTATGATTTTATAATTATTAAATAATGAGTAAAAATATGGTTAGCACTTTGATTCTCATTTTAAACTAATTTTCTATTGATTTTAACTTTAGATTTAAGCTTTCATAAATTAATGGA